CAGATCCGAGGACCCAAAAGATTCTGAGAGGAGCCATAGAAACTTAGAGGATCCAAAATAATCCAAAGGATCCAAGAGGATCCAAAAGAATTCAAGAGGATCCAAAAGAATCCAAGAGGATCCAAAGGAATCCAAGAGGATCTAAAAGGATCTCAAAGAATTCGGTAGTATCTAAAATGATTCACTGAAATTTATTACGAATCATCAAGACAAAGCCGACATGTTAGAAAATCCTTCACAATAAGCTAAAAATCTATGATAGTTTTAGCAATAGACCATATTTTTGGCACTGATTTTTCTAAGAAATTGAAGTCAACTGTTCATCTATTTTATTTGAATCAAATGGATAAGGATACAAAAAAGAAAATAAAAATTAATGTTGTTTACTGGTCTGTTTCACTCGAAAGTGTCTATCAGATGATAAATGATTTTTATTAACTGTCAAAAGACGTGCTGCTGTCTGTTTATGCATGTAGTAGTGCTTAATTATTATTAATAATAATTTTAAAATAATTATTTATTTTCGTGGAATTGATTTTTTCATAAATTTTCATTCCATAAAATGTTTGTTTTGATGTTGTTAGATTATATTCTTCGTGTTCATGTTCATCACGTGATTCTTCAATATATTCAAGTAAATCAATGTTACCAGGTTCATTGACAATATTATCGTCATCATCGTCATCTAAACTATCATAAGCATCATAGTTATTGATAATTGAATAATCAACTGTTGATCTTTTATCAAGTTCATGAAATACGAATGAACTAAGTTTATGAATATCATCTAAATTGGATTCTTTCAAGATTTCTGTTATTAGTAAATTATTCATTATTATTACTGCTTTATTATAAGCTTTAATGATTATTTTCTCCATGTCCTGTATGGTAATTGATGATACATTTTGAATATTTTTAGATGCTTGAGATTCATCACGACGATTTTTATGATGTCTTGGAAATTTTAGAGAATATTCGTTATTACTAGATTCTTCTGTTGATTTTATTTGATTTAAAATGGAAATTTTTCCAATTTTATTTATGACTTGAGATACAGAGAAGGTTGTTATTGATGATAAAGATCCAGATAAAGATCGAGCACTTCGAAATGTTGATTCGCAAGGTTGACTACTGAAAAGATGACAATTAGGTGCATATGACGGTAGACATCCTTTGGATACTAAAATAATGATAAACGTCAAAGTATGTATGTTTATTTCAGATGAAAGCCAAGCAGCTCTGGTAATAAAAGAATTATCTTTCTCTGTTTGAGATAAGTTTTTATCAATTCGAATACTATTCCTAGAAAATTTTCACGAAATAAAAAATAGCTAAAGAAATATTTTTCTTTTACCACCAAATTCGATAAGCAAAGGCAACAACCCAACCAAAATATAATCGAGAAAGAATTTCTGTATCAGATTTAACATAAGCAAGTATAATTAATTTTAATAGATACAAGTAAATGTAGGTAGCCTTATTATTCATCTGTTTTAATAAAATCAATACGTCATCTGATGTTATTTTCAAACAAGAAGAATAATTTTGTTTATCATGTGGAAAAATATCGGATCGAACCAAATTATGATCAAGTTTCGGATGGTTTTCAATTAAATGAAGTAAATGATTTATATCAACATGATGATTATTAATATTTAAAGTGGCAGTCTCTGACAAGAGACGATTTCGAATCTTGGTAACTAAATGTGTGCCATCCTGCATGCAGAGAAACAATTGTTGAGGTCTCATAAAGAAAAATGTCCAATTAGATGGTGTATCAATTGTAAGTAGATTATCATTTCCTGTTAATAAATCAACATTAGGCGCTCGAGAAAAGAAACCTAAACATATTCTCATAGCTTTGAAATATCTGGAATCACAGTCTGTTGAAAATCCAACTAGATTTATGTTTCGTTCTTTACATTGATTATAAATATAAATCCATCTGCGTATGGTATCAGACGCAGAATGTTTATTATTAATTCCATATGCACTTATAGTGTATGGTCTCGAATGAACTAATGATGTTACATCTGTCAATAATGGTTCAATTAAATGAACGTTGACTAACGTAGATTTATCAATATCATGGAACCATTGCTCAAGTTCGCTATAACTATTGGTCTTAAATTGATTTATAACAGGTAAACCATCGTTTAGTGATGGAGTAAATCCGATAAAGGAATCATTAATAGCATCATAAGACACTGAGCTAACCACTCCAGTGGCGTCTTCAGACTAAAGTAAAAAAGATTAGAAGTAAATATCATAGAAAATATACAACAAATAGGATAGAATCTATCTTATGCTCGTAATTATTTTATTGATGTCAGAAGGAATATATTGTTGAGCGAAACTTAGTAACAATATCTGTGAAAAACAATGAGATATTGATCAACTTGAGTATCTCGATATTTCTTTTTTTTCTCTTTTTCGATGAATTACTCGCATATCCGTAGTTTTTGACTAGTCTTGACAAACGTTTCTATATCGATCAGATTTATTTCTATCTTTTATATTTTGCAGTTCCATACCGAAAAAACATATTGTGATTTTATTGAATCTAAATAATCTTTCAATAGATCAAATCTGAATTCACATTCGTTTAATTTCAAATTAATATCTTCATCGTAATTTTTCAATGTTGTATCGGATGGTAGAGAACCTAACAAGTTAATTCGAGTGAATTCATAAGCATTATAACCGGCTAATATCCTAAATACTGATGCGAATTTCGTAACAATAGGATGAAATTGAAAGTTATTTTTAGATCGTTTCATATTCTTTAAAAGATTGCTAAGAAAAGTATTAATAAATGGTTTTGATTGATATTGTTCGTTTTCTCCATCGATATTTATCAACTCACATATGCATTGACTGAATTTACTCTTTTCAATGGATGTTGTTGTATGAGATAAAATAGTATTGGTATTAGTCAATCTTGATTCATAAAGTCGTTTCAATAAATCAATAAATTGCTCTATGTTACATTTAATTCCTTCTCGTACGATAAAGTTCATATCATCATCAATAAAACAAGCTTTCTTTTTTAAATCATATGTCTCTTTGCAATTAATTTGAAAAAATGAAAAAATGTCGGGAATTTGTAATAAAATTCGTACGTTTTTTATATGCTGTATTTCTAAAATTTCACCTTCAATTTGACCTACAAATTTCTTTACAAAGTCGTAAAAGACATCATCAGAATATGACCAAAGATCATCAGGAAGTGTTGATAATTCACCCTGTTCACAATTCATAGCAATTAAATTATTATAATCGTTCTAAAACAGTGATACTACATCCATTTAATTCTTAAGATTCCCTTTAATTTCAAGTGAAGGAATATTTCAATGAATACAATCATCTTTATTTCAATTGAACAAATGTATTAATAAATACGATCATCTTTACAATGAAACAAATAGCTATACATGAAAGCGAATAAAAAAAAACAAACGATTTAATTCAATGTGTAACTTCTACATTAAAAAATTTTCGACTCTTATAAAAGATTATGATACAAATAGTGATAGATCAATAATACATATTATAAAGTAACTAAAATATCTAAGTTAATTTGTTCATTATAATGATCTTGTCTTCTTGGTAATACTTGATATTGATCGAGGTGATAATGATCGTTTTTTTGTAGAAGAATTTGAAGAAGTTTTGATTGAGCTATTGATCATTGTTGAAAAACTGCTATCTTCATCGTCCAAATTTTTTTCATCAGAAACATTTTGAATATTGTTCGTATTAGAATTGTCATCATCCTGTAAGACGAAATTCGATAAGTTATTGTTGATGCTAGAAAGCTTATCGAATCCTTGTTTTTTCTTTTTGATCATTGTACAACGACTGTTCTTTAAATGCTTTAAATAAGCAGAAAGTTGAAATGAATTTGATTTTGAACGAAAAACAATTTTAATAGTGATATTACATCCACATTTAATGTAACCATTAATATCTGCATCTAGTATATTCACATGAATTTCATAATCAATTACATTTCTTAGAACAAATTTTTCAAATGTATTGACACAGAATTTTTCAATACTATCAGAAATCTTTTGTATGTAATAACTTGGTGAATTGATTTGAGGTGTTGTTGAAAATACTAGTGTTGATTGTGAATCAATAGAAGCTAAATTAGACATATTTGATGCAGATGCATTGAACAGATCACCATTTAATTTTATTGATGATTGTGATGATGATTTAGAAGTTTTTATTCGTTTTGTTTGTTTTTTTTCTTTTATCTTTAAGTACTGATATTAAATTATCAAGATTGATTTGAATTCCAGCTTTGACCATAAATCGTTTATTATCTTCATCAATAAAACAAATACGACTTTTTATTTCAATTATTTCTTTAGAATTAAAGCTTAAAAAAGCCATGATATCTGGAACATTTATTAATATTCTAACATTATTAATAGATTGCATTTTAATTATCATCATTTCATCGATACCAACATTTTCTTCGATAAACGTGTATAAACGATCATTGCGATAGGATAAGAGATCATCAGATAAGTTATTAAGATCAATTGACATTATGATGATGAAATATTTTACTTCTAAAAAATGAAAAGAAAGCTGTCAGATTGAACTTATTCAATACTCAGAAAAAATCCGGTTAGACTTTCCTTTTGCCCTGATAATTAATACATGGTTTCATCAGAAAACGAAGTATATATAATATCTTTATTAGATTTCAAATGCAAAAAATTAGTTCAATATCAGATATTGAACAAGATATTGAAGTAATACCATTTATGTGTGAATGGTCCAATTAAGTCATTTCGTTCTCTTTTACTTTCTTCAGTATATCTATGATCCTATACAAATAATGAACTAACCTGGAAGAAGTTCAAGCTCATTTCTACTTTGTGTACAAATTGTAGTAAAAAAAATGAGGCACATATATATGTTAACAATTCAATGCTTACCAGATTTTCTTGTAAACCACTTTGATAATTGCGCAATATGAGCATACATTATCATCTTTTTTCTTGATATCGAGTCATATTCAAGCACAATGTACCTTTTTAGAGCTTTGTTATCAAATTCTATCGGCTCAAAGGCTTTATTCTCAAAGTATAAGTACATATGTAATTCAGAGTACAGCAGTAGAAATTGTCACAAAGCAGCACTTTTTTCTTTAATATGACTTATAAATCATTTATGAGATACAAGCAAGAGTCTTCAATTGACGAAATCATTATTAATAATGTTGAAATGTATTCGTAAGGATATTGCAGAATCTATCAGGATTCAAGAGAATCCAAAAGGATCCAATAGGATCTATCAGGATCCAAAAGGATCTATCAGGATCCAAAAGGATCTATCAGGATCCAAAAGGATCCAAGAGAATCTATCAGGATGCAAAAGGATCCTAAAGGATCTGTAGAATCCATTAGAAGCTGTAGGATCCATAGGATCCAGGATCCGCTTTTTCCCCTTGCCCACACCCACACCCACACCCAAGCCTTGCGACTGAGCCGCCGTCGCCGCCGTTATCGTGAACGTTAAAATGGATTGTCTTTTACAGTCGCTGCCGAAGTTTTAAAAAAGTTAAAAATTCTTCATCACCGTCGCTGATCTACTCGTCAGTTTACATCTCTAAAAATAGCCGCATGGATGAGAAAAGGAAATTGTTTTTTCTCATTTCATTACTGTTGGGCAACGGAGGGAAGTCGACTAAACATTAGTATTAGAAAAACGCTAATTTCATATCAATAAAGAAAAAAATGAAATGTAGAACCAGCCTTTAGTTTTTTATGCACAAAGAATGTTCTATACGGAAAAACATACAATATTTATTCATAATATTATATGCTTATGCTGCGATCGAAATCGATTCAAGTGACGTTTCGTTTGATAATAGCATCATTCATATAACTGTGGTATGTCTTTTTATGAGCAATGAGAACAACAAAGAAAATTCGTAATTATTAAAGACGAAGATTTTGAATGAACCAAAGCAAAGGCAATTCTTAGCTGCAAGTGTGGGTGTGGGTGGGGGGGGGGGGGGCGTTGGTTGGTGTGGATGTGGGTGTTAATAGGATGAGCATAGAAATCCACATCCATGCCATCCATATCTACACCCATACCCACCCACACCACTCACACCCACACCACCCACACCCACACTCACACCCACACCCACACCACCCACACCCACACCCACATCCACATCCTTTCTGAAGTTATTGAAAATGATGGAGACTTTATATTACATTGATGATCATATTGTACTATAAGCTGTAACATAATAAAAAAGTTTTCCTGTTATCTCTTCTTTTGATGTAGTTAGACTAGGGGCGGGACTTTTGGCCACTACTGTAAATACAAGAACGATTGGTATGAAAGGTATAGATAGAATCAGCTACATGGATTGAAGATTCGGGACGAAATTTTGCACCCATGCATTACTCTACTTTGATTTCTCATGTAGCTCACTTTTTGCTGAAGCAATAATTTATTTATTTTGATGCTCAAATTGAAGTAGTAATCATTTTCGAAGATTTGAAATTATTCTTCCTTTTGCTCAGAGTTCATTTCTGTCCGTATATAATCACATGCTTCTTGCATTGAACTGAATCTATGTTGATCGTCGCTTGACAAATCGCTGTCCATTATTTCTTGAAGATAAGTTTCCATTTCTTGAGGATCATTTCTAAAAGGAAATGTCTTTTTCTGTAAATTCAAATCATGCATGGACAAGACATTGAAGTGAATAATTCGATTCGATTTAATTCAACCGAATTGAATCGAATGGCGATAACATTATGTTATTTGTTCTCTGATTATTAATCCATCGAAACAAAGTGAAAAGAAAGGATCGACAACAGAAGAAGTTGAAATATATTCTATCACAATTCGATACGTATGAAGACAATAGAAATTACCTGATATTTTCTTTAAAAAAAACCAGGTAAAATGCTAAGTATCATCTTCCAGTCTTTTTCTAGACGACAGACAGTCCTCATTATCTTGTTTCGACAACTGTTATAAACTAAAAACTGACAAAACAGAAATTTTTTACTATGAAGAAATAGTCCAGTCGTCCAAAGCAAAGGCTCGAGCTCAGGTTGTTCTGAATAGATTTTTAAGTTGTTTGGCACGTACTATCAAGATACTGTGTTCGAACTTCGAATTCAACAGATATGAACTGATCTTGGATAAGTCACTAAAGACTATTTATCTCGAATCACACATACGATGACATGCTTACTACGCTGTGGCATACATCGAGCCATTGTGACTACTGTGCGTTTAGCTAGTGTGTACCGAAAGATCAATCGATTGAGCGGAAAAAATCTTAGTAAGGCCGACCTTGTGTGCAGAACTGCAGCTGACAATAGTTGTAGTAAAAAAATATTAGGACTTCGAAACTGTATCTGGACAGCATCCTATACCGTAAGGTATCTCAAAGGCAAAGATATTCTGCAAACGATTAAAATTTCAGATGTATTTGTCTAATTGATACAAACTCAATTGACTTAACAACCTAACTTGACATTAATAATTGAACTCATGATCAAATAAGCTACAGTTACAAAGAAAAAGAAAAAGAGTTTAGAAGTCGTTGTAAACAAGAGTGATAGTTGCGAACGTCTAATCAAACGAGCAGACGTATATTTTAATATAAATATTGTTTGATAAATTCAATTATTTTCGATAGTTGTTATTTATAGCCTCATAATAGTCTTTTATTATGATGATTTTAATAATACTAATAATAAAAGATATAGCAATTTTTAAGGATATACGTATATCATAAAAGTCAATGCACATTTATATGAATCTTGAAATTATTCACGAAGGAACTAAGACAAAAGTAACCGGCTGTTTGAGGCTAATATTGGGTTCATAATGAGGTCTCAATAAGGTTAGAGAATATCTACAAGGATTTGTACTCATGGATCTTTCAAGCCGAGCTATGGCTGTCTCAGTAAATTTTAAACTTCAAATATTGCCAATAGACATGTCTAATAATCTGGAGAGTACTGTGAAAGTTTTGGTCAAAAAGAGTCTTTCTTTGAAGAGATGATGAATTTTTAAAGAATCATTTGCCTTAATAATCAGGCTCCTTCAAAAATTTCATATCTCGGCACAAATATTAATTTTGGTTGAAACTTGTTAAATATTTTAAAAGTTCTAAATCAAAAGTGCAACATTTTAGGTTCACATTGTACTGCTTGATCTTTTAATGAATTCTTTAAAATGACTTAAAGATTTAGTGAAAGAGTCGTAACATGACTTCGAAGTCCATGGACGTGAATGTTTTTAGTCTTTCCCTAGTTTTTCTGAGACCTCTTTGTGAGTCTCCATACACTCTATCCTTTCATCGCCTCACACATCATAGATCTTAGAAACGGTCGTAAAACATTATTAACGGGTGTTGCAAAAGTTCCTGGAAAAATGTCAGACTCTGTTGCATTTGAACAGAAAATGATAGAAAGTTAATTCTTTTTTTGTTAGATAGCGCATTGTTTCTACTTTAAAAATGATATATTTCGCAGACTTGTATTTGTACGCTAGCAGGGAAAGTCATTCGATTTCCTGAAACTCCTAAAAAGCAGGCTGCAAACGTTTTTTTACAGCAAATCATTTGTATATCTCAAGAAAGACATGTGCTTCTGAGCTAAAAGGACTTCTAGGCTGTGTAGTTGTTTAAAGGTCACCTAGATAAAATATTCAGCTGAAATGGATTTCACTTTACAGAGATCCACTTTGTTAAAATAATGCTGGCATCAATTTCGAAACTTTGTGTAACAGTAAGTTTTACAGTTTCCGATATCTAATTAGGTTAAGATTTACAGTTTAATTAAAAAAATGTGTACATAGTCTTGTAGTCCTGGAAAAGCTGTATCCGTCTTAGTGGATTTTGTTCTAATTACGTCTGAAGAAGGATATCTATAGCAATAAGAGTTTTGAACGGTTGATGCACCCAAATTTTCGAAAAAAGAGAAAATTCGTTTTTCCTCCAAAAAGTAAACCACTTGGCAATGACTTGTATGTGTGACGAAAGCTTATATTATGTTGTATATAACCTGTAAAAATCAGCTCAAAATGTTGCATCTAAGGCAAGATATCAAATTTTTCTCGAAGAAAGCAGAAGCAAAATAGAAGAAAGTTACAGCACGGTTTTTAGGAGTTTTAGGAAATCGAATGGCTTTCCCGGCTAGCGTACAAATACAAGTCTGCGAAATATAACCTTTTTAAAGTCGAAACAATGCTCTATCTAACAAAAAAAGNTCTTAAATTGATTTATAACAGGTAAACCATCGTTTAGTGATGGAGTAAATCCGATAAAGGAATCATTAATAGCATCATAAGACACCGAGCTAACCACTCCAGTGGCGTCTTCAGACTAAAGTAAAAAATATTAGAAGTAAATATCATAGAAAATATATAACAAATAGGACAGAATCTATCTTATATGCTCGTAATTATTTTATTGATGTCAGAAGGAATATATTGCTGAGCGAAACTTAGTAACAATATCTGTGAAAAACAATAAGATATTGATCAACTTGAGTATCTAG